ACAAGTGGCTGGGATTACAGGGGTAAGCCACTGTACCCAGCTACCTCTCCCGTTGATTTTTTTTTTTTTTTTTTTTTTTGAGATGGTGTCTCGGGCTGGAGTGCAATCGTGTGATCTCAGCTCACTGCAACCCCTGCCTCCCAGGTTCACACAATTCTCCTGCCTCAGTCTCTGGAGTAGCTGGGATTACAGGCGCACACCACCACACTCGGCTAATTTTTTGTATTGTTAGTAGAGGTGGAGTTTCACTATGTTGGCCAGACTGGTCTCGAACTCCTGACCTGGTGATCTGCCCACCTCGGCCTCCTGAAGTGCTGGGATTACAGGCATGAGCCACCGCGCCCGGACCTCTCCCATCCTTCAGGAAAGGAAATCCCCCAGCCTTCCTGTTCTAATCTCTCTTAGATGGGTCCATTCCTTTCCAAGCCTCTGATGACTTTCACTAAGTGAAATAACCTATGCAAAGCATATATTGGGCACCAAACACAATGGTTATTCCTTTCTTTTACCCGAATGATTATTCTCTTACCTGAAAAATTATTTTATTGGGCACCAAAAAAAAATTATTATTCCTTTATCTCACCTGAATGATTGAGACAGACCACTAACTAGTCTGTCACCTTGCTGACCCCTAAAGTATCTGCTCTCCACTGCCAGGATAATCTTCCTGCGGGGCAGCTCTAATCGTGTTCTTCTTCTTTTTTTTTTTTTTGAGACAGGGTCTTGATCTGTCACCCAGACTGGAGTGCAGTGGCAGGATCTTGGCTCACTGTAACTTCTGCCTTCCAGGCCCAAGCAATCCTCCCACCCTACCCTCCTGAGTAGCTGGGACTACGGATGCAAATGTCACCAGACCTGACTAATTTTTTGTATTTTTGGTAGATAGGGTTTCACCATGTTGCCTAGACTAATCTCGAACTCAAGTGATCTACCCGCCTGGCCTCCCAAAGTGCTGGGATTACAGTGTGAGCCACTGCACCCAGCAGTACCTGCTCTTATATTAGAGCCATCGCATGTCCCTCACAAATAAAAGTGACTTTGCTTTCTTTTGAACATTTTTATAATTTTTAATGTGCTCTACTGCATGCATGTGCATTCTGTTTTGGATTACCCCTGCTAGTGATTAGAATAAAAAGAACAGCTTTTATTTGTGCAGCTATATATAGCTACAAAGCACTTTTATAGACATTAGCCCACTAATCTTAAGAATAAAGATGGCTGGGTGTGGTGGCTCACACCTGTAATCCCAGAAATTTGAGAGGCTGAGGCAGTGGGGTCACCTGAGGTGGGAGTTCAAGACCAGCCTGCCCAACGTGGTGAAACCCTGTCTCTACAAAAATATAAAAAGTAGCCGGGCATGACAGCAGGTGCCTATAATCCCAGCTACCTGGAGGCTGAGGTAGGAGAATTGCTTAATCTCAGGAGGCGAGGCTGCAGTGAGTTGAGATCATGCCATTGCACTCCAGCCTGGGTGACTGAGCACTGAATAAAGACTAAAGATAACCTCTTATTTGTTTATTAACACAGTTACCAATACTTTTTTTTTTTTTTTTTTTTTTTTTTTTTTTGAGACGGAGTTTCGCTCTTGTTACCCAGGCTGGAGTGCAATGGCACGATCTCGGCTCACCGCAACCTCCGCCTCCTGGGTTCAGGCAATTCTCCTGCCTCAGCCTCCTGAGTAGCTGGGATTACAGGCACGCACCACCATGCCCAGCTAATTTTTTGTATTTTTAGTAGAGACGGGGTTTCACCATGTTGACCAGGGTGGTCTCGATCTCTTGACCTCGTGATCCACCCGCCTCGGCCTCCCAAAGTGCTGGGATTACAGGCTTGAGCCACCGCGCCCGGCCTTTTTTTTTTTTTTTTTTTGAGACAGAGTCTCACTCTGTCACCAGGCTGGAGTGCAGTGGCACAACCTCGGCTCACTGCAACCTCTGCCTCCCAAGTTCAGGCAATTCTCCTGCCTCAGCCTCCTAAGTAACTGGGACTACAGGCGCAGGCCACCACACCCAGCTAATTTTTGTATTTTTAGTAGAGACAGGGTTTCACCATGTTAACCAGGATGGTCTCGATCTCTTGACCTCATGATCCACCTGCCTCGGCCTCCCAAAGTGCTGGGATTATAGACGTGAGCCACTGCACTGGCCTTGGTATTTGAGATGGAGTCTTGCTCTATTGCCCAGGATGAAGTGCAGTGGCATGATCTCTGCTTACTACAACTTCCACCTCCCAGATTCAAGCAATTCTCCTGCCTCAGCTTCCAGAATAGCTGGGATTATAGGCACCTGCTGTTATTCCTGGCTACTTTTTATATTTTTATAAAGACAGGGTTTCACCATGTTGGGCAGGCTGGTCTTGAACTCCTGACCTCAAGTGATCTGCCCTTCTTGGCCTCCCAAAGTGTTGTAATTACAGGCATGAGTGACTGCACCTGACCTCTTTGTTTACTTTTTAAAGAGACAGGGTCTGTCTCTGTTGCCCAGGCTGGAGTACAGTGGCATGATCATAGCTCACTGTAACCTCAAACTCTCCGGGTCAAGCAATCCTCCCACCCCAGCCTCTCAAGTAGCTAGGAGTACAGGTGCATACCACCATGCCCAGCTAATTTTTAAACTTTTTGTATGGATAAAGCCTCGTTCCACTGCCCAAGCTGAACACAATACTTTCATCATTTCAACTTGTATCTACAAACATCTCATTACATACAAAACATTCTTTTCCACTAAGTCTTTAAACTGTATGGATTACCTCTTTATTTATCTTTGTCTCCCCCAGGATGCTTACACAAAGTACATGCTAATACTATGTTCTCAGGGTGGTCTGACCAACCCAGAGGAGAAGACTTAACAGCTCCTCGTCATAGGATCAGAGGTTCGGAGGCTGTTTGATGAAGGCAAAATTATAATGTATTTTTCCAGATAATCACCCCATAGCATTTATCAGATTCTTAAGAGTTTAAGAGATCTCCAAAACAATAAACACCGCAGTTCTAGTTTCTATAATCTCTAGGAAATGCTGCCTAAGACTGTATATATTAACTCTTAGGGCACCCTACCACAATTGATTCACATTAAGCTTATAAAATTACCCCACTCCAGGCCAGGCGAGGTGGCTCACACCTGTAATCCAAGCACTTTGGAGACCAAGGCAGGCAGATCACCCGAGGTCGGGAGTTCAAGACCAGCCTGACCAACATGGTGAAACCCCGTCTTTAAAAAAAAAAAAGAAAAGCAAAGCAAAGAAAAAATTACCCCACTCCATGAAGAAACTCATCCATTTACCTGCATTTGGAGGGGGGGGTACAACGTGGTTCCCTCAAGGTCAGGGACCGCACTCAATTCAAGCTTGTATTCTTAGAGTTTAGCACAAACCTGCTATTGAGGGATAATAATTACAAGAACCATGAGCTACTGAGTCACCCTTTACATGCATCAGGCACTCCTCTAAGCAGTTCATTAATTATCTCATTTCATTTTACAACAAAATTTTCTGGTATTATTTCCCCCATCTTACATGTAAGGAAACTGATGCACAGATAAATTAAATAACTTTTCTGGCCAGACGTGGTGGCTCACACCTGTAATTCCAGCACTTTGGGAGGCCAAGGCAGGTGGATCACCTGAAGCCAGCAGTGTGAGACCAGCCTGATCAACATGGTGAAATCCCATCTCTACTAAATATAAGAAATTAGCTAGGCATGGTGGCATACACCTGTAATCCCAGCTACTTGGGAGGCTGAGGCAGGGCAACAAGAGCGAAACTCCGTCTCAAAAAAAAAAAAAAAAAAAGAAAAAAGAAATTAAATAACATTTCCAAGGTCACACAGCTTGTAAGTGGTGGAGCCAGGTTTTGAACCCAAGCAATCTGGTTCCACAGCCAAAACCATCTGCTGAATTTACACTGCCCCTCATTTGATGAATGAATGAATGTAGGAATGAATGAGCAGAGGCACTGAAGATGTTTTTGCTGAATGAACAATTAACCAATCATTAACTAATCCACCTTTTGTCTCTACCCTGTATAATGTATAGGATTACCATGAGAGTCCTTCTCAACTTTTGAGTTCAACTAGAAAACCTCTCCAAGTAATTCCCTATCTATCAGTATAGAATTCCTGTCAGTAACATTAAAAAGCTTGGTTTAACTCTTAGTGAACTACTCTTAGTGAACAAGAACTACGAGTGAACTAAGTTTTCTCAGAACCCCAAGCACCAGGCAAGGATTTTACCCATCTCTTCACTGCTATGCGGGTAGAAGAGTGTCAGTGCACATTCAATGCATAACAGTGGAATGAATGCACAAAAGATAAAATGCAAAGTCCTTCAGTGGCCCTGGCCAGATTAAACTGCTTTCAGTTCACCTCCTTCACCACACTCCATTCCCCATCCTGCCCCAATTCCTACTCATTGTTCAGATCTCTGCAAACACTTAATTCCCTCCAAGAATTCTGACCACCAAAAAGGCCCCACTTATAAGTTCACAAGGCAACCCATATTTCCACCACTCAATGACTTAAAAGTACCTAAAGTCACTGGTAAACAATCAAGATGTTTGTCAAATTAATGAATAAATGAATGAGGTCTTTTTCTTTTTTTTTTTTTTGAGACGGAGTTTTGCTTTTGTCACCCAGGCTGGAGTGCAATGGAGCGATCTCGGCTCACCGCAGCCTCCGCCTCCTAGGTTCAAGCAGTTCTCCTGCCTCAGCCTCCCAAGTAGCTGGGACTACAGGCGTGCGCCACCATGTCCAGCTAATTTTTTTTTTTGGTATTTTTAGTAGGGATGGGATTTCACCATATTGACCAGTATGGTCTTGATCTCTTGACCTTGTGAGCCACCCGCCTCGGCCTCCCAGAATGAGTTCCATTTTAGCAGGATCTGATTAACTTAAACCTTTGTGATCGTAAGCTCTTCCAGAAATGACTTTAAGAACCCCTTCTGTCATTATTGGCTCCTGGGGAAGCTCCACCTCATTCAGGACTCAAGCTTCATAAACATATTTTTTCTCACAGGCCCCTTCAGCATAGCACAGAAGGAACACAGTTTCTAGAGGTTCTTTGACCTAGACTCAAACTTTGTCTCCTCTCAAATTAGTTGTATAAGCTTTTTTTTTTTTCCTACTTTTTTTTTTTTTGCATCACAAACGCTGTATTTAAAGGTCCATCTCTATTTACTGTGGCGGCACAAAATAAAGGAGCAGGTCGTGACACACCATTTCCATCTCAAGTGGTCGAATCCAACATTCAAGGCCCAGTGAGCAACCAAGCTCAGCGCAACCTAACTCGGCCTCTCGCTCTGACTCCAACAGGGTGAGCACGTGGCCCTCGCGCACGGGGCCTTTTACATTGCGGATGATGGAGCAGCTTGTGTCATCCCTAAATTCCATGCGCACCTGCATGCACTGTCCCTGAGAGCCGGTCCTGCCCAGGACCTTGGTGACCCTGGCCAGCTCGATAGGCTGCACATGGCTGGTATTCATGATGGCAGCTCAGGGGCAGTCTGGTGGACTTTTTTAAAAAATTTTTTAGAGCCAGAGTCTCACTCTATCACCCAGGCTAGAGTGACACCTGGGTGCAATCAGAGTGGTGCAATTACAGCTCACTGCAGCCTCAAACTCCTGGGCTCAAAAGATCCTCCCACGTCAGCCTCCTGAGTAGCTGAGACCACAAGTATGCACCATCGTGCCCTGCTAACATTTTTTATTTTTATTTTTAGTAGAAACGAGGTCTTGCTATGCTGCCCAGGCTGGTCTCGAACTCCTGGGCTCAAGTGATCCTCCCACGTCAGTCTCCCAAGTGCTGAGATTACAGCATAAGCCACCATTCCTGTACCCAATCTTTTTTTGTTGTTCTGGGATCCTGGGAGATTTTTTTTTTTTTTTTTTTTTTTTTTTTTTTTTTTTCTGAGACAAACTTTCGCTCTTCTTGCTCAGGCTGGAGTGCAATGGCGCAATTTCAGCTCACCACAACCTCCGCCTCCCCATTCAAGTGATTCTCCTGCCTCAGCCCCCCGAGTAGCTGGGATTACAGGCGCCCGCCATCACACCCGGCTAATTTTTGTATTTTCTTTTTAAGAGACGGGGTTTCTCCATATTAGCCAAGCTGGTCTCAAACTCCCGATCTCAGGTGATCCACCTGCTTCAGCCTCCCAAAGTGCTGGGATTACAGGTGTGAGCCACCATACCCAGCCCCCAATCTTTTAATTAAAAAACAAAAACAAAGGCCGGGCACGGTGGCTCAAGCCTGTAATCCCAGCACTTTGGGAGGCTAAAGTGGGTGAATCATGAGGTCAAGAGATCGAGACCATCTTGGTCAACATGGTGAAACCCCTCTACTAAAAATACAAAAAATTAGCTGGGCATGGTGGCGGATGCCTGTAATCCCAGCTACTCAGGAGGCTGAGGCAGGAGAACTGCCTGAACCCAGGAGGCGGAGGTTGTGGTGAGCCAAGATCGCACCATTGCAGTCCAGCCTGGGTAACAAAAGCGAAACTCCGTCTCAAAAAAACAAAAACAACAACAACAACAAAAACTGTCTCCTTAAAGTCTAGAGTGAAAATCTAATATCTCTGGCTATAATGTTCTTCTCCCAGGATCCCAGAACAACCCATTTGCAAACCATCTCCCTTTTCTTGGTCAGAATTAAACCCACTCTGCTGGTGCTCACAGTCACATCAATTTCTTTCACTCTGGAAGACACACAGCCTGGCGAGTCAGGAATGGGAGAAACTCTCTGCTTTCAGAAAAAGAGGGCTCTTGGGAGATCTCAACCATTGAAGGGCTGCATCCTTACTACTACCTAGGCTTTGGTTAGTTTATTAACTGAGACCAAAAAACTCATACTTGATTATTCCACCTGTCAAAGCAAACTGTAGTATTTCCTCAAAATGGAATCTCTTTTGGCCCTCTACTCTTCTTCCCTCATCCTTATAACTTCTGGTGTGCTGCAAAGGATGCCATCTAGTATGAGAGACAGAAAGACTTGGCTGGAGAGAAGCCTTCCACTCAAGCTTCTTCCTGGTGAGCTTGGCTTAGCCAGGTTTGAGGAATGAGCCACGTGTGTAAAGCAACTCTCTACACTAGGCACCCACCTCTATGGTGGAACAGTGGCAGGAGTGATGCCATCAAGAGGGAAAGATAACAGTTTCCAAAGAGGCAAACCATCTTTGGCTTCTCTGAAATACTATGAAGCCTCTGCTAGGGGAGACTTCCTACAGAGAGTTCTCGGGAAGAGAAAGGAGTTAAATGCTAAGGCTTCCTTCAGCCACAGGTCTTACTTCAGCTTCGGGGCTACAGAGAATCTCTCTCTACTTCCTTTTCTGTGCCCTGAGGATCTCTGCTCCCCAAAACACAAATGTCTCTGATTCCTTAGTCTCCTTAACCAGAGTGACGATTTGAGATGAGTTAATTCCATCCCAATGTCCTGAGGGAAGTACATTTCCCAAAAACAAAGCTGCTAACTGGGTTGACACAAGTCTCCCAAGTGCTGCAGGATATGTGCACTTGGCTCTTGTAGATAAAAAATAAATTTAAAAAATAATAAAAATTAAAAAGTGCTGCAGGATAGGTCCTTTCATGAGTCATGTTGTGATCTGCGGGGCAAGCGTTCAGTTCCAGCATTGCACTAACTGCATGACCTTGAGAAAGTCACTTTTTCTCAGGGAAGTGATGGCCCAGGTCCTTCCAGTTTTAATACTCTATGTGATCATACAAAATGCAAGAGCAGCTGGGACAGGTGGCTCATGCCTGTAATCCCAACACTTTGGTAGGCCAAGGTAGGATATCACTTGAGACCAGAAGTTCAAGACCAGTCTAAGCAACACAGTGAAATCCCATCTCAACATAAAAAGAAAAAAATGCAAGCGCTGGGCACGGTGGTTCAAGCCTGTAATCCCAGTACTTTGGGAGGCCGAGGCAGGTGGATCACAAGGTCAAGAGATCAAGACCATCCTGGTCAACATGGTGAAACCCCGTCTCTACTAAAAATACAAAAAATTAGCTGGGCATGGTGGCACGTGCCTGTAATCCCAGCTACTCAGGAGGCTGAGGCAGGAGAACTGCTTGAACCCAGGAGGCGGAGGTTGCGGTGAGCCAAGATCGCGCCATTGCACTCCAGCCTGGGTAACAAGAGCGAAACTCCGTCTCAAAAAAAAAAAAAAAAAAGAAAAAGAAAATACCAAAACAAGAAATCTGCCTTAATTTCTCCAGGATCCTCCATGTCCCAAACCTTTTTTTTTTTTTTTTGAGAGTCTCGCTCTGTTGCCCAGGCTGGAGTGCAATGGCATAATCTCAACTCACCGCAACCTCCACCTCCTGGGTTCAAGCAATTCTCCTTGCCTCAGCCTCTCAAGTAGCTGGGACTGTAGATGCCCACCACCACGCCCAGCTAATTTTTTGTATTTTTAGTAAAGACAAGGTTTCGCCATGTTGGCCAGGCTGGTCTGGAACTCCTGACCTCAGGTGATCCACCTACCTTGGCCTCCCAAAGTGCTGGGATTACAGGCATGAGCCACCATGCCCAGCCTCAAACCCTCTATTAGCATTGCTCAGAAGGCAGCAAATGACTTGATCAGATTATCCCACATCTCCTCCTTCCTTAGAAGGTAGGGATAGAAATAAAAATGCATAGAAAAGCAGATAAGGCCCAGTCAAATTGATTATGCCTACATGCCCATGAGATGTCCCAGGCTGGTGACATCTCATGGGAATTTAAGGAATCCATTAAGAATGAATTCTGAGGCTGGACATGGTAGCTCACACCTGTAATCATGAAAATTTGGGAGGCCGAGGTGGGCAGATCACCTGAGGTCAGGAATTCAAGACCAGCCTGGCCAATATGGTGAAACTTCATCTCTACTAAAAATACAAAAACTTAGCCAGGCATGGTGGCACATACCTCTAATCCCAGCTACTTAGGAGGCTGAGGCATGGTAGAGCTTGCAGTGAGCAGAGATGGTGCCACTACACTCCAGTCTGGGTGACAGAGCAAGACTCTGTCACAAAAAAAAAAAAAAAAAAAAAAAAAAAAAGAATTCTGAGGCTGGATTTAGTGGCACATGCCTATAATCCTAACACTTTGGGAGGCCAAGACAGGAGGCTCCTTTGAAGCTAGGAGTTTGAGACCAGCCTAGACAACATACTGAGACTCCATCTCTACAAAAAATTTAAAAATTAGCCGCACCTGCCTTGGCCTCCCAAAGTGCTGGGATTACAGGCATGAGCCACCATGCCCATGTCAGGAATGGGACAAACACAGTTGGTGCCTGCCTATAGTGCCAACTACTCAGGGTGGGGGCTGAGGTTGGATCACTTCAGCCCACTGCATGCCAGCCTAGGCAACAAGGAGAGACCCTGTCTCAAAACCAAACAAACAAAAAGAATGAACTCCTCATTTGGCTGTCCCTTTCTGTTCTCCCAAGACCCAACATCTCTCTGGGAATGGCACTGAAGCTATGAGCACAGGGTATGGAGTGTGACTGCCTGCTTCAAATCCCACCTTTATTATTTGCTAGATGGCTGATATCAATGAGTGTAAGCGTTTATATTATTTGCCAGCTCAGCGTTGTCCTGTCTAAAGGCAGTAGCCAACCCTTAGAAGGTGTCTGTCCTCCTCCATTACTACGAATATCATGAGGCAGCCTTTCCCTCCCTCCCAGTTCCCATCCTGTCAACACTATTTAAAGAAAAATACTCGCACGGGAGCAGTGGCTCACTCCTGTAATCCCAGCATTTTGGGAGGCCAAGGTGGGCAGATCACAAGGTCAAGAGATCGAGGCCATTCTGGCCAACATGGTGAAACTCCATCTCTATCAGTAAAAAATACAAAAATTAACCCGGTGTGGTGGCACCTGCCTCTAGTCCCAGCCACTCGGGAGGCTGAGGCAGGAGAACCTCCCAGGCTTGAATCTGGGAGGCGGAGGTTGCAGTGAGCCGAGATCGCACCACTGCACTCCAGCCTGATGACAGAGCAAGACGCCATCTCAAAAAAGAAAATTATCCAAGGAATACAGCAGTTACCTCGGTATTGTCACATTACTCTTTCCTTAGCAAGAAAGAAAAGGTCCCAAAACATTCCCTACTCCCTATGGCCCTCAGACCCCACCCTATCCCCATCCCTGACAGTTTACCCTTATGATGGAGGGTAAACCCAGGATGAATAATCATTTGTAAAGTACTCTGCAGTTTTCAGGGTACTTTTGCACACAGGATTTTGTTCAGTTTTTGGTAAGCAGTATTACATTATTAATTCTGAAAGCCATGGCTACTCTCCCACCTCCATTTTACAAATATGCAAACTAAATCTTAGGTTCACAAACTGTCCAAGCTCACATAGCTAAGAAGAAAGTCATACCAGGACACTGTTTTCTCTACTACTTCACATTATGATGTCCAAGTTCACATCCTGGGAATATGAGGAGCCTGAACCTTATGGCTAGTTACATGCCCCTCAAGGGAACAGAGACCTCCTCATTTTCCTCCCTGCTGGTCCAGGTAGGGCTGTCCAGGCTGAAGAACCACAGACATGATACAGACACAAAGCACCAGGCATAGGAGGAGTGGGGACACCACCAAGAGGGGACCAAAGGCCCACAAGGGTAGAGAGTATCTGCCAGAGCATACTAGGTCACGGCATAGACCAAACGCATTCCAGACCACCGAGGAAGCCCAAAGGGGCCCCCCCAGGAACAGCCCAAGTCCCCAGATAAACTGGCCCTTCCTCACCCAGCACACCCCCTTGGCCCTTTCTCCCTCATGCTTCCAGTAGAGAAGGAAATGGACAAGCAGCCAGGCCTGACAGCTTGATCAGATTCAGCCATATACACCCATGCGCACTCAGCAGTAAGCTCAGAGCCATAGAAATCAAACCTGGGGCTCACCCAAAAGCCAAAGAAGAGGCAGTCACAGCCTGGGTCTAGGGCTCCAGCTCAGAACCACCGTCTTTTCAGATGCTGGCTGCCAAACAGAGCTATAAAATGTGCCTCGACTTAATTTTTCCATGGACACATCCTCAAGATGGGATGGCCAGGCTCTGGAGGAGCTGGGATTCCAAAGGCTCACTGCCTCTCTGCTCTGGGATCCACAGCTAAAGTTGGGGAAAGGGAAGTATTTCGGGTCAACATTGCCATCCCTGGGGCCCATTTCTCTTCCTAGAATCTTCCCAAGGCCGAATGCAGCAACAGAGTAAGTCTTCATTCAGCACTGATTCATGGTTGGAATTTAGTGCAAATTGCTTACATCTGCCTGGCCACATCCCAAATAGGTAGTTTAGAGTGAGGAGGAGGGGCAGCACTGGCCCACTTCTTGGACCCCGGGTAGCTGCCTGCTAAAGAATCTGGTGCCATGCTGGGACCAGCCAGCCCAAGGTACAAAACTCTCCAACAGAGTTGAGAAAAAAACAGCCCAAGAGGGCTGCCAGAGACCGTATAGCGATTCCATCCCAGGCATGAAGGGAAGGACTGGGGCAGGGAAGCTACGAAGACCCCAGAAGAGGGTGGAGATGGAGAGAAGGCAGGCCTGAAGGAGCTAGAGCAAAGGCAGATCTCACACACACACACTCTTCAACATCGGCCAGCTAGGGTGTGTGCACTAACCTCATACATTTGGTAACCTCTTCCCACAACCCAGGAGCCTGCCAAGCCCCTGGGCTCCCCACCCTACTCCACCCCACACCAGCTTGGCAGCCTTGCTTGCTTCCTGCTGCGATTGCTCCCTCCAACATCAAAGTCACCGCTGTCGGGAGCTGAAAAAGAGAGACAAGTATAGGCCAGGAGGGCAGCGCCTTCTCCGAGCACCCGCGAACTCAGGCCTGAGGGTCCCTCTCCCTCTTCCAAGCTTTCTGTCTCCTTTTGCTGCAGTGTCCTTATAAGGGAGAAGGCAGTTCTACCTCCGCCCGGCTAAGAAATGTACACATTCCCCAGGCTAGATGCCGACTTCTCACCCAATCCACGGAAGGCACTACCCCCATCACAGGACAGGTTTTGCTTTTTTTATTTCTCATCTTAAATAAACAAACCCCAAAGGCATTGGCTGGTTCAGATCGCCCAGCAGCTGGGAGCCAGGAAGTGTGTTTAGCGAGAAGGGGGTGGGGACGCGGGTGCCTGGAGCCCCAGAGGCCCTGAAGCCGCTGGAGTGCAGTGGGGTGGGGTGAGGGGCAACCTGCTCTGCGCGGCCGGCAGGAGCTCGGCTCCCACGGCGTCTGCCGCTCAGCCCGCCGCCTGGACCCCTCGGCTGCTTCCATTGTTGCACCTCCGCTCTTGCCGTGTTGGAGGGAGAGCCTCTTGACCTCCGCTGCCTCCACTCCGGGGGCACTTTGCAGACCCTGGGGCCGGTGCAACCTGCTGGGTGCGTGTCCTACCTGCGCTAGCTGCGGGCTCTGCTGCAACACCCGACGTGTCTTGTGCCCGGCGACGTGGGCTGCTCGCTCCGCGCCTCCCGGGCTCGCTCTGCGGCTCCAAGCGCCTCTTGCACCAGCGCGAGGGGAGCTGGCCGGCCGCACGCCGCCCGCTCCCGGGCCGCTCCCCTCTCCAGGCTCCGCGCCGGCCCTGGGGTCCAACGGGGAGAGGGAGAGGTAGCCAAGGGTGCAAGGACCAGTTTGGGGGGCGGGGAGGGGTGCTCTCCGCCGAGAGCGTGCGCGAGCTCGCAGAGTCAGGCCACCCCGGGTGAGACAATAGCGGGAGCAGCGGGCGAGAGAGGGGAAGCCATCTCCCGGACACCCGGCGCACTGCACGGCGACGCGAGGCTCGGCCAGACCCAGCCCGGACAGGCAGCCGCCCGGCCGCCGGCTCCAGCCGCAGCGCCGAATCCGCCGCGAGCCGGAGGGCGGGGCGGCTGCTGGAACCCGGGCCGCCCTCGGCCTCTCCCCTCCCCTTCCCCCTTCTCTCCTCCTCTCCTCTTCTCCTCTCCCCTCCGACTCCCTCCCCACTTGCCATTGCGTGGGGGAAGAGAAACGCGCTAGCGTCAAGTTGAGCTCTGCAACCCAAGAGCCAGGATTTCTACTCCCCACTTGGGTGAGGGTTTTTGCGGATGGTCGTTACTTTCCCCTGCTGGCACCCCTTGGCTTTGGGTCAGAGGAAAGCGCTATCATTCTGCTAGAAATGACGGTGCTGAGATCCAGTTATCCGTTTCAGGAATTTCTCCCGTAATTACGGTAGCGATGTTCCGAGGAGCCCCTACCTTGAGGGTGAGGTGGGGGTAGAGAGAGGCTGTCTCTGGCCTTTACACGCTCAGCCTCATTCGTCTGTCTCCTTCCTTCCTTTCTGGAAGGGGAGTCTCGTTTTTGTATTCGTCCAGGTGGATCTTCCGAGCTGTGACCCAGAAAATAGCAGTCAACCTAAGTGGGGAGGGGAGACAGGGGATCGTCCAACCCAACTAGGGTAGGGGGGAAAAAAAAACCTTTCATACAATATATTTAAAATTTCTACTCTAAATACCTTACTTCGAGCATTGGTCTCTGGAAGAATTTTCCTAAAGGCTCCACCCAAAAGAAACCATAAGTTGGCCAGCTCCTCGTTTGCATTTGGTTTGCATTGTACCAACGATCCCTGATCTCAAAGTACCTTTTCCCGAAAACGTGAATCGTTTTTTCCTCCACTGCCCTCATTTCTTCTTTCTTTCTCTACAGGCTATAAAGATTAACACCTGGTTCTCAGCCTTTCAAGTAAAACTATGATTAAATACATTTGTTAGGCTTCTTTCTTGTTAACTTGTCTTTTGTTATAGCAGTATCAGCTGTGACTCCTATGGGGAGGAAAGGGATCATTCTCCCCTTTCTGCTCCTACAGTCCCTTCTCTACCCAGTGCTGTGTGACTGAGTAGGCCGCTTCACCCTCTGAACATCAACAATAGCGTCCTCATCTATCACGCAGGGCTTCATAATGATCGAAGGAGGGAGTGTAAGTGAAACATCTTGATAATTAACTGAAGGCAGCCAGCTCTGCACATACATCATAATGTATATGATGTTATTTCTGATTTCAGGAACCACAGGGGTTAAAAGTCGTTGTCCATGAATGCATTCACCACTTGTTCACCATACAAATATTTATGACAGCTTACTCTAGGTCTGTCATCAGGTCAAGCTCAGAAGCCTGAGAGAACAGAGTGATACAGGCAGGGGCCACTGTTGGTTCCATGCTGCTGGAGTGAAGAGTCTGAAGGTGAGAACTCCCAGGAAGTAGGCCTGGGTAGCTGAGTGGAGGATCAAATCACAGGCATTATCATACATTTTGATAAGGAAAAAATTGGGTAAAGAGAAGCCAGGGTGCAGTTGCTCATGCCTGTAATCCTAACACCTTGGAAGGCCGAGGCAGGTGGATTACCTGAGGTCGGGAGTTCAAGACCAGCCTGGCCAACATGGTAAAACCCCATCTCTACTAAAAACACAAAAAATTAGCCAGGTGCAGTGGCTCGTGCCTGTAATACCAGCTACTCTGGAGGCTGAGGCAGGAGAATTGCTGGAACCTGGGAGGTGGAGGTTGTGATGAGTCAGGGTCATGCCACTGCACTCCAGACTGGGCTACAGAGCAAGACTTGTTCTCAAAAAAAAAAAAGAGAGAGAGAGAGAGAGAGAGAGAGAGAAACTGGAGCATGCCAAAAAGTTTAGGTTTTGCAGGTGACAGAGAACCCGCTGTACACAAATGGAGCTGGGAAGTAGTGTGATCAGTAAAAACCTTCCTGGCCTATTGTAGAGAAGAATTTGGAGGATGTACAGCATGTCTTTCCTACGCCCCTCCAAATCCTCCTGGCCCTCTGGCTTCCTAGAAGGAGTTGACCAATAGGAGCCATGGCTGGAGATTGAATGGGGAGGGAGGTCAGGGAAAACTGGACATTTATTCTTCAGGATTTCTCCCTTTGGAGTCACAGTGCACTGGCTGCCAACCTCAACCAAAGATCACAGCTTCCACAGGTGATTCTCTCTCCCCTCCCTGTCTCTTGATTCAGATAATCACTCCCCTCCTTTGACTTCTCAGGCCTAGCGGGTAGAACCATTGATTTGCTACTGGCCCCAGCAGATAGTACACTATTTCTTGTGGTTTTCCTATACCCCTCGACCTTTTATAAATTCTCTTCTTATTTTTTAACCTCTCCTCAAATTACTCCTCGAGTGCAATGTGCCATTTGCTTTCTGCCAGGACCTAATAACACAGGTCAGGAGTGCAGCCTGGGAACTCAACAGAGAAGCCGTGGCTACATTCCAGGTGGGAAATCAGGAAATCTCAAAACTGTACCAGAGCTGTGGCAGTGGGGAAGAAAAAAACTGGGTAAATACAAGAGATACTGATGAAGAGAAATCAATATTTGATAATATGGAAACTGTAGGGAATTAGGGAAAGAGAGGGCTCTAGAATTACTCCCCATTTGAAGCCTTAGGAATTGTTGGTAGGCGGTACCATTACCTAAGTGAGGGACAACTAGTAAGACAGAGCCCAGGTGTTAGGGAAGGGATCCCGAGTTTAATTTTGAACATGCTGAGTTTGAGGTGTCTGTGGAATGGGGGTGTCTATATGGGGGTGTCTAGTAGGCAGCAAACCTACGAAACTAAACTCAAATTGGGGTGTGGACAAGTGATAGCAGCTTTGGATTCTGCAGGTTATAGGTGGTCAGCGAAGTTACGAGTCTGTATGCGGTCATCCAGGTGGGCGGAAGGAGGAAAGAAGAAACAGAGAGGTAAGAGAAAAACCGGAGGCCACCGACTGTCAGAAACTAGGGCGGGAGAGTCTCAGAAGAGAATGACTGGATAGGCCAGGTGCGGTGGCTCTCGCCTGTAATCCCAGCACTTTGGGAGGCTGAGGCAGGCTTATCACAAGGTCAAGAGATTGAGACCAGCCTGACCAACATGGTGAAACCCTGTCTTTACTAAAAATACAAAAAAACTAGCTGGGCGTGGTGACACGCCCTCTCTCAAGGCAGGAGAATCCCTTGAACCCAGGTAGCAGAGGTTGCAGTGAGCCAAGATCACACCACTGCACTCAAGCCTGGGAGCCAGAGTGAGACTCCTGTCTCAAAAAAAAAAAAAAAAAAAGAGAGATTGACTGAATAACAAGTGCAGCAGGAACCTCCAGGAGGGCAGGGCTGGAAAATCCCTTTGGATGGGCAAGAAAGTCACTGGTGCTCATGGAGTGAGAGCGATCGGAGTTAAACCAGCCTCCAGTGGGTTCTAGGCCTCATTCATTGCCTGATTCAAAGCTAGTGCTCAATAAATTCTTGATCAGTAAGGGAATGGATGAACCTGGATCTAGAATACAAGAGACACACTTTTTCTAGAAGCTTGGCAATTTAAGAGAAGAAGAAATATAAGGCAGTGGGTAGAGGGGAATGCAGGATAAAAGGGGAGATTTTTGTTTTTTTCTTTTTAGGATGAGAAAGGCTTAAACATGTTCATATGCTGCGGAGTAAGACCAAAGAGAGCAAGATCATGAATAGGAGGGAGATGGGACCCAGGCATTTGGGGTGGAGCTGCCTCTGATAACCTTGAGAGAAAGGCTATACAAAAGCAGATGCATTTATAGACTGGTAAAGAGACTAGAACTTGAGACTAGGTGTTGAGAGGACTGGTTGCTGCCTGACAGTCTTGAAGCAATCTGTCGAGAGAGAAACGGTCAAGATGAGGTTAGAGGCACAGTCGCTCGCGCCTATAATCCCAGTACTTTGGGAGGCCGAGGCAGGTGGATCACCTGAGATTGGGACTTCAAAACCAGCCTGCCCAACATGGCAAAACCCTTTCTCTACTAAAAATACAAAACATTAGCCAGCCATGGTGGCGTGTGCCTGTAATCCCAGCTACTTGGGAGGCTGAGACAGGAGAATTGCTTGAACCTGGGAGGCGGAGGTTGCAGTGAGCCGAGATCACACCACTGCACTCCAGCCTGGGCAACAAAGCGAGACTCTGTCTCAAAAAAAAAAAAAAAAAAAAAAAAGGGACTAAAGACTTAAAGAAAGTGGTTAAAGTTAAAATAGAAAGGAATGAGAGTGGTAGCTCCAGAGGGAGGGGAGAGAGAGAGAGAGAGAGAGAGAGAGAGAGAGAGAATTGCCAGTAGAATTGAGAATACAGGTGGCACTGGATACTCTCATGTTGTGGCTATGAATAAAAACATCTGAATGTTTTGATCATTTTGTCCTGCAGTGCCTAGAAGCCCAGGTGTAGAACATGAGGTCAGGTTTCCAAGTACAGTGGAGGCATGAAGGATAAAGAGGGCTCCTGACAAAAGAGGAGGCGCCCAAGGAGAGAAGTGAAGCTGAGCAAAGGAGAATCTTTTTTTTTTTTTTTTTGAGACACAGTCTTGCTCTTGTCACTCAGGCTGGAGTGCAGTGGTGCAATCTTAGCTCACTGCAACCTTTGCCTCCTGGGTTCAAGTGATTCTCCTGCCTCAGCTGCCGAGTAGCTGGGATTATAGGTGAGTGCCAACACGCCTGGCTAATGTTTGTATATTTAGTAGAGATGTGGTTTCACCACCTTGGCCAGGCTGGTCTTGAACTCCTGACCTTAGATGATTCCCCCAACCCACACCAACCCCACCTCAGCCTCCCAAAGTGCTGGGATTACAGGCATGAGCCACCGTGACCCCCACAAGGCTGTGAATCTTGAAGAAGGGGAGGAAAGGGACTGGGCTGCCTCTAGTCTTATTCCCCTTCCAATCTTTTCTCAAGCAACCCAGCCAGGGTGATGTTTCCGAAGCAAACATCTGCTTCCCCTGCTTAAAATCGACTAAGTGGGCCGGGCACGGTGGCTCAAGCCTGTAATCCCAGCACTTTGGGAGGCCGAGGCGGGTGGATCACGAGGTCGAGAGATAGAGACCATCCTGGTGAACATAGTGAAACTCCGTCTCTACTAAAAATACAAAAAATTAG